TCTCTCTCTCTCTCTCTGTCTGTCAGTCTTGTGGTCTCGTCTCTCTTAAAATACATATTTTGACTGTTTTAGGTAATTATAGTCCGAGTTTCTTCTCTATTTCTATCTTTCTAAATCATATTCCGTTCTTTGTGAGAGTGAGCACTTTTTCTCTTCCACGTCGGCACCATTTGGCAGCACGTGTTCAGTCTTCCGTGGGCTTTCAGCTCTGGTGTTACGAGGAATAACAAACCTATTCACAGCCCGGGGCGAGGTGGGAGAAGTGGGAGGGGCGGGTTGTGGTGGGGTGGGGTGGAGGAGGAGAAAAAAAAGGAGGGGAGGGGGTGAAGGGGAGGGGGGTGAAGGGGAGGTAAGGAGGTTGGGAAGTAAGGAGGAAGCTACTGGATTGAAGTTCACTGACCATGTGGCCAAGTAACACAGTACATCTTGTACCATTTCGCGCTGCTGAAGTTCGAGCATTGAATTGGACGTTGGTGTTTATGTTTCAATCGTGCGCTTATACGATGAAAGAAGTCTAATTATTTACTTCTGAACAATATTTGTTGAACATTTTCTGCTGTTTCTTCTCCATTTTCATACTTCTCTCATGCGTAGTCAGAATAATCGTATGCAAGCATAAACTCGATACACATGCGCTTGTATGCGCGCGTGCGCACACACAAACACACTCACACATGATACATCCCCCCCCCCACACACACACATACAGGTGCGGTCTTTCTTTCTTTCTCTCTCTCTCTCTCTCTCTCTCTCTCTCTCTCTCTCTCTCTCTCTCTCTCCCTCCCTCCCTCCATACGTGTCTGTGTGGGTTTTTACTATAGAGTTCTTTCCCATACAAACGTTAATTGTACATTGTATTTAGTTTGCTCTTAAACTTCAAGCGAAAGAATAAAAAAGATTTAAGAAAAAAAATGACCGTCAAAAAGTTTCACGTCAATCATTCCTTTGATGTGATCTTTTCACCAATAAATCTGATGCCCGCCTGACCCACAGAGCGGGTGTTTTGGCGCGCGTTGCTTTTTTTTTGCGGTCTTGTTCTATGTTGACTCGCCACA